TCTACTCCAGATGATGAATCATCCAGACAGTTGATTGAAAGTATAATGCCATACTTAAAACCTGACTTGGGTTTGATTTCTTCTCAAGTTGTTCACGATTTTCTTCATAAAGTCAAAGATGCACCCTTGTCCGCACGTGGTTCAATTCTTCATATAATTGACCAAACAAAAGATAGTGAAACTTTAAAAGGTTTAGTAAATGAAAGAGCTTGTTATCTTCTGAGAAATTGGGTCAAAGAGGAAGCAAAATCACCAGAAAGCGATTTATTACATAAATTGCTTCAAACCGTTAATCACCTTCCAATTGATACTGAGGCGTTATCTGCAAGTGGGCTTGGGAGGGTAATTAATAACACTAGAGTTAAGGATTCTCAAATACCAGGTGTATCCGAATTAGCGTCTCTATTAATAAACAAATGGATCGATGAGAAAAGGCGAGCCGATGAGAGGGCAAGTCAACTTGCAGCAGAAAATTCCAGATCATCATTATCATCATCATCATCAGCATCTGGTAGTGGTAGCACTTCCAGAACTGTCGTAAAATCTTCAGCATCCGCGAAATCGTCATCTCAATCTTCACAGGCTACATCCTCAAAGGCGGTTAAAGGAAGGGAGATTGCTGGTCGCGTAAGGCCACCCTCAGAGTCTAAAGTTGATCCTCGAATACAAGCAAGACCAGATACCAGTCTCTTTGATGAGATTTTAGGAAATCTTAATGCAACAAAGCCGGCAAGACAAGGACAGGTCAATAGAGTTACGCAAAAAGATCAAAAAACTGTAACTCCCGCTAAGAATAAGATCGATAAACAGAATGTACAGACGACCCAAGCTAACGAGAAGCAAAGTTCATCGACACAAGTAAATTCGTCGGGCACCGGAATTCAGAAATCAATTATGGATTTGGTTGAGGAAAACATAAAAGAAACCAAGAAAGAAGCAAAAACAATTACTAAAAAAAGGAAAAGAGTAACATTTGCTCCAGATAATATGCTCACTCAGGTTAAATTGTTTGAAATGGAGGAGAGGGACTACATGGAAGGAGAGTTCTCGACAATTGATACTCCGCACCAATTCGGAAATGCTAGAGATTTAGATAGAAGTGA